CAAAAACTACATAAATACTGCTATGACATCATGGTTAGTAATGAATCCTGGAAAAACTGTTACAATATATGATATTCCAAAAATAGTAAACATTGCATTTCCAAAGGCTGTATCTCCCCACAATATTTTAAGTGGTTTTTCTGCAACAGGTATTTACCCGTTAAATCCTGATGTGTTTACTGAAATTGATTACTGTCCTAACTATGTAACTGATCGCCCTGACCCACCTTGTTCACAGGCTGATTCAAATAAAAAAGACTGTGAATCTTATTCAATGCAACCAGAACCATCAAATAAAAGATTTAAAGAATCTATTCAGATACCAGGTAATCAGGTAGACATAACAATAGAAGATCCAGTTGTATTAAATAAAACCCCTAATCAGAACCCAATCACAACATTAGGTTTTAACAATTCAATCATACCACCTGAGAGTATTAGGCCTCTGCCTAAAGCAGGTCCGAGGTTAGCATCAAAAAGAGGTAGGAAAAAGCGGTCAACTATGATTCTTACTAACACGCCTGTCAAAGCATGGCTTGCTAATTATAAAAAGAAGAAAACTAATAAAAAAAAATTTACTAATGGAAGTAAAAAAGAATTAATAAAAGCAAATCTTGCTACGAAAAAACCTTCTATAGTCTTAAATTCATCTGAAGATAAAGAGTATCTGTGCATCTATTGTTTGAATCATTTTCCAACAGCCGATCAAGAGAACAGTGGATTCAATGTCAGGTTTGCCAAAAATAGGCTCATGAAGAATGCACACCAGGCTTACAACAGTTTATTTGTGAATTGTGTTCTTTATCCAATAATTTTTAAAAAACCAAACCTAAAAACATTTATAGTGATAAACTAAATTTGTTAATTGTGTTATATTTAAAATATATATATTTCAGTTTATAGTATTTTATTTTTGTTTTTCTTAGTAAAACATAAACGAAATTAATTTGTACTCGTTTTACATTAAATTCTTATCTAAACTTGTCAAAATCCAAATGTGACAATCAACCCCGCACCATGTGACAACCTACCCCGTGAGCGGGGCTAGTTGTCACACAGAAGTGGTCTTTGAAAAATGATTTTACAGCAATAAATATTTCACTCAATGTCATAAAAATATTATAATAGTTACTGGAAATAGTTAAATTAGCTTTGTGCAAAGTTTGGCATTGATTGGATGAAAATTAAAAGCTGAGCAGCCTAAAATGTAAAAAGTGTGACAACCAACCCCGCTCTCCCCTATATGTATGTATACATATATGTATATATATATATATATGTGTGTATATATATATATATATATATATATATATATATATATATATATATATATATATGTATGTATGTATATATATACACACATTTATTTATATATATATATATATATATATATATATATATATATATATATATATATATATATATATATATATATATATATATATATATATTATATATGAGGAGCAAACATTCAAACCGTGTTTTCTCCAAAAAAAATAAAAACTGAGTTATTGATGGTTTCTTGTAGTCCATGTTAAATAGCACCAGATTCAAGCCTTAGTTTCAGTCAAATCATGCTTTATCCTATTTAAAAACAGCGTGCAAAACTAACTGTTCAATCAAAGAGTGTTTTCTCCAAGGTCAGTGTTCAGTCAAACAGTGCTTTCTCTAGCTGACCAATGGGAGCGGTCCTCTCTGATCACATGACTAGTTGGCATAAGCTGTTTTAACACGTGGTTCAGTACTGAAAGTAAGGTTATGGTAGGTAGTTCACTAATACTATAGCTCTACAATTTTATTAGTTTCAATCTTTCGATTTCAAATGGATGAAGTGGTTGATGGTATTTTAGTAAGTATTGGAAACACTGGAGCTCGTAAAAGACAGGCAACTGGCAAAAGAAGAAAAGAAGAAAAACAGAAGCGTTATTCATCACCTGCAGGAACCAATGTATACATTCCGTGCAAGCATTCAACAAAGAAGTTCTCATGTTGTGATATTAGACCTTACGATGTAAAGAAACTGAGGGACAAACTTTATAAAGTTCCTGACAAACTTTGTCAAGATTCAATAATTAGTTCTCTAGTTGAAACAAAAAATGTTATTCGACGAAGGCCTAATAACCCTAACCTAAACAAGTCGCATAAGTCAAGCTCTCAACATGCCTTTTCTACAAACTACTTCATTGTTGGAAATAAAACGAGAATTCCTGTTTGTAAGAATAATTTTATTGCCATTACTAAAGTAGGAAGGACAAGATTGGCCAATATTGTTTCCAAAATCCATGCTGGAGATCCTATTGAGGATAGAAGAGGAGGTGATAGGAAAAGTAGCCACAGCATTGATAAAAAGAACAAAGTGAGAGATTTCATTTCTAATTTGAAGGCATCAGAAAGTCACTATGGGAGAAAAAAATCTAGGCGTTTGTATTTGAACTGTAAATTGAATATAAGAAAGCTGCACCAAATTTATTGTGACCAAATAAAGGATGATTTGTACAGAGTGAGTTTTGCCATGTTCAGGAGAGTGTTTGTTAATGAATTTAACATTGGCTTCAAATCGCCATCAAGTGATGTTTGTAGCACGTGCGCCCTTCTAGACCAGAAAATTAAAACATTGCCATCAGGATCCATGGAACGTGTAAACCTTATGACTCAGAAAAGGATTCATAAACTTAGGGCAAATGCATTTTATGCGTACATGAAAGAAAAAACCGATGAATCTGTGTGCAGTTTGTGTTTTGATCTACAGCAAATACAACAATTGCCAAAAACAAACATTCAAGATGCATATTATCTGAGGCAGTTGAATTTTTATAGTCTATGTATTACTAGTTTGGATGGCAAAACCCCAACATTTTATACATGGTCTGAAGAGCAGGCAGGAAAAGGTAGTACCGAAATTTCCTAAGCTCTACATTCTCACCTAAGAACAATGAATCTTAAAGGAATCAAGACTTTACGACTTTTTTGTGACGGATGTGTTGCCCAAAACAAGAACAATATCAACCTTCAAATGCTTTTGCACTTTCTCTACTCTTCAAATAATGCTGACATTCAAGAAATTCAACTCTACTTTTCGGTCAGAGGCCATAGTTTTCTGCCAGCAGATCGTGTGTTTGGTAGGGTTGAGAAAATCCTTAGGAAAAGTGTAACAATAATATCCAAAGAACAATATTATGAAATTTACAAGAACATTGGAGCTGTAAAAGTTATGGGTGTTGATTGGGAACTTCTAAATACCAAATCACTCAACAGGTTCTTCAAAAATCTTTCATACATATCAGAATTAAAAAGGATCTTTCTCAAGAAACACCCAGGAACAGGAGCTGTCAAGGTCAAGGGCTTCAGAAACTATAGGTTTGAAGATGGAAGTGAGCAAGCTGGAGAAGGACTCCTGAAAAGAGGAATAAAAGTTTCAAATGTCAGAAATATAACATTAGAATCTCTTCCACTAAATCGTCCCATTTCTTCCGAGAAGAAAAAAGATGTTGAGAAACTCTTGAAACTATTATATGGCGATGGATGGCAGAGTGAGCCTGATTTTGAATGGTACAGGAAAATATTATTCGATGAACAAGACGGGAATGAAGAGGAAGATGAAGTGTGTGACTGTTTGGATGAAGATATTGGAATAAGAATTTAAATTGTTGAGTATGTATTAGTATTGTGTTTTATGTTACCATATTTTTTTAATTCTTAATTTGTGTGTTGCGTTATTTCAAAATTTTTCAAATTCTTGAATTGCACCAATAAACCCCATTGACTTTGTGTTATTCGTTTGTTGTATTACTTAAATCATTCAAAAAGTGTTTTATCCTTGTGAGACTCAATCAAAACATGTTTTCTCCTTAGTATTCAGTCAAAATGTGTTTTCTCCAAAAAATAAATGCATTTTTTTCATTTGTTTTCAAACAAATATCTAAAATAATGTATCAGAATACTCCTCAGAGCTATTAAGAACAATAGAAAACTATAACTTTGATTCATGACAGTTCTTTAAATTTTTATCAGTTTTTTGCGTTTCATGTAAATTCTCATCTGAAGGAGAAAGCACGGTTTGAACGTTTCCTCATATATATATATATATATATATATATATATATATATATATATATATATATATATATATATATATATATATATATATATGTATGTATGTATATGTATACACACATTTATATATATATATATATATATATATATATATATATATATATATATATATATATATATATATATATATAAATATATATATGTATATATATATATAAATACATATATGTATGTATACATATATGTATATATATATATATATATATATATATATATATATATATATATATATATATATATATATATATATATATATATATATATATATTAGGGTGGGTCAAAAATTTTTTCTTGTTACAGTCTCTAAACATTGCTAGAAAATTGTTTTTTTATGTACTAATTTAGGAAAGTATTTACTTTTATGGATTGAACAATGTCTTCCACCCGCAACTATAATTACAAAAATATATATGCAGCCTTTTTTGATTTTTTAAATTTCCTTTTTTTTTAGAAAGCATTAATAACACTAATTGTAAAATAAAAGAGTAATCAGCTAAATTTTGTATGTAAGTTTATATATTTGTAAACTCATTTATATTTTTATATGTAGTATTGAGTTTGACCGTGATTGCGATTATTTTGCTATTGCTGGTGTAACCAAGAAAATCAAAGTAAGATTTATTTGTTTTATATTAGTATATATATAATTGGGATTAATTATAATGGATATATACAATGGATATATATAAAAATAATAGATAACATCTACATTATTTTGGTTTATCTGAAATTATTTTTATTAAGCTGTGCATATTAATAACAAATAGTTATATTACAGCTCTTAAATCAGTTAACCATAAAATATCATTGTTAGTTTTTAATTACTTTAGGTGTTTGAATATGGTCAAATTCTACGGGATGTAGTCGATATTCATTACCCTGTGCATGAAATGACCTGTAACTCAAAAATAAGTTGTATAAGTTGGAGTCAGTATCACAAAGGCATGCTGGCAAGTAGTGATTATGAGGGAATTGTCACAATATGGGACGCATTTACTGGTACTCAAACACAAGTCTTTCAGGTAAAGATAATAACTTGTGAAAATTTATTTTTGAAAAATATTTATTTTTTTTAGTTTATTTATTTTATTTAGTTAAATAAATAAATATATATATGTGTGTGCGCGTTGCAGCACTCCTTTGAAGCATCAGGCTATAAAATAGTCAATGTATGTACTGAAGCCCCTGGCAGCAGACTATTTCAGTGGGTCATCACAGTGCTTATCTTGATATATATATATACATATATATATATATATATATATATATATATATATATATATATATATATATATATATATATATATATATATATAATTAGTAGAAAATCACGATATATACACTTAGCAAAATTTTTTCTCATTTAACACTGTGTTTCATGAATAAAGACTCGTCAGAAAAAGGTTTTTCTGATGAGTCTTTATTGATAAAACACAGTGTTAAATGAGAAAAAATTTTGATAAGTGATTTGTAATTGCTCTGTTCTTTTAAGAACATTGAGCACTCTTTTTGTAGAATACATTTTAAATTGTTTAAATATATATATATATATATATATATATATATATATATATATATATATATATATATATATATATATATATATATATATATATATATATATATATATATATATATATATATATATATATATATATATATATATATATATATATATATATATATATATATATATATATATATATATATATATATATATATATATATATAGAAAATGTCTAAGCATATTAGCTCATCATGATTTTGACGTTATAAAATTACCTATTTTTTTAATTTAAGAACATTTTTTTTTTTAACTACCGCAATAAAATAAATTACTGCTAAACAAGTTTTTTTTACTAATTAAAAAAAACAAATCTAGAAGTGTTTTTTTCTAAATGTTCATATTGTAGAAAGTCTTTTTTGTTTCAAATTTTTTTTTTTTTTTGATATTAAATAATTAAATTTAATATTAAATTTTTATTATCATTTAACATAAACCAATTTCTTTCTTTTCTCAACATTTTTATAAATGAATTAAAATGTCTTAATTTTTTTTTTCATCATTTCTTAAAATTGCAACTTTGTAAATTATGATTTTTTAGTTTTAAAAAATTAATAACAAATAAACTACTTGTTGCAAAGAAAAAAACTTAAATTACTTTACCAGGTTTTTTTTTAATGACAATCAGATTTAAGTTTCCAAGTATCTATATCTATCTATCTATATATATATATATATATATATATATATATATATATATATATATATATATATATATATATATATATATATATATATATATATATATATATATATATATATATATATATATATATAGAAAATGTCTAAGCATATTAGCTCATCATGATTTTGACGTTATAAAATTACCTATTTTTTTAATTTAAGAACATTTTTTTTTTTAACTACCGCAATAAAATAAATTACTGCTAAACAAGTTTTTTTTACTAATTAAAAAAAACAAATCTAGAAGTGTTTTTTTCTAAATGTTCATATTGTAGAAAGTCTTTTTTGTTTCAAATTTTTTTTTTTTTTTGATATTAAATAATTAAATTTAATATTAAATTTTTATTATCATTTAACATAAACCAATTTCTTTCTTTTCTCAACATTTTTATAAATGAATTAAAATGTCTTAATTTTTTTTTTCATCATTTCTTAAAATTGCAACTTTGTAAATTATGATTTTTTAGTTTTAAAAAATTAATAACAAATAAACTACTTGTTGCAAAGAAAAAAACTTAAATTACTTTACCAGGTTTTTTTTTAATGACAATCAGATTTAAGTTTCCAAGTATCTATATCTATCTATCTATATATATATATATATATATATATATATATATATATATATATATATATATATATATATATATATATATATATATATATATATATATATATATATATATATATATATATATATATATATATATATATAGATAGATAGATATAAAGATATATAGATATGCATACGCATGTTTTAAAAATGTTTTTTAATAAAACAAAAACAAAAACACCACTAATTAAAGAAAACTTTCTAGTCATTATTATTGCGGTTTTTTTTTAAAAAACAATAAAATTTAATGTACTTCCGCATTAATTTAATTGCTTTGACATTTTCACAACAATAAAATGCAGCTTTAGAGACGAGGTAAAAAAATTGTAGTCGAAAGGGACTTTTTTTTACCATAAAAGTCTCTTTCAGGTCTTGGCGTGAATAAATGAGCACAAGAGCAGAGAAAAGCTCTCTTAAAACGAACTTGGGGAACTGTGCGGATCGCTCATTTAAATCAGCGCTCTTTTTTAATTTTAATTTTTTTTTTGCAATAACTGTGCTTTTTAAAAAGCATTGCAGTATATTATGCAAATAATCTTGATTGTTGATTAGGTCACTTTTGATTAAAAAAATATTTGCAAATATGTTAAGCAGTTTTAGAGTAATTAAGGGTTTATGGGTGCTGCTTATCATCACGTTCAACTGATATTGATTATCAATAATCAAGTATTTTGTTATTACTTGAATGTTTTCAAATATTTTACATATTTTATTATTTACTTAGTATTACAATTTTAGGAACATGAAAAAAGATGCTGGAGTGTTGACTTTAATATTGTTGATCCAAATCTTATTGCATCAGGATCAGATGATGCTAAGGGTATGTTTACACTATCAAATTTTTTGTAGGAAATCTAAATAACATACAACAAAGTTCTTAAATTTTTTTATCCAGGTTGTTTTACAAAAGCTTTCAATAAGTTTATATATGTAACTTTTTTTTATATTTATAGCTACTTGTAAAATCATTTTGTTTTGTAATATTAAAAATTAATTTTTAAAGTTTTTCTGAATTTTATTATTGCTTTGTGTTTTAAAAAATATCTTTTTTTTTTTGTTTTGTTTTTTTTTTAAAAAAAAAAAACATTTTCTCAAAAACTTATATGTTTTTCTTGAGATCAGTTATCTCAAATTTTTTAAATATCTTTTTATTAAAATGAAATTTAATTTTTGCCCTTTTTTTGCTTAACTTATATTTTTTTTACGTTTTAAATTTATTTTCAAAATTTAAAAAGATATTTTTTTTTTTCCTTATATTTTTTATCTTTTATTTTTATTTTATCTCTGTAGTTAAGCTATGGGCAACTAATATGGAACATTCAGTTGCCACATTAGAAGCTAAAGCTAATGTTTGTTGTGTTAAATTTAATCCAACGAGTCGCTACAATGTAGCGTTTGGATCAGCAGGTATTTTTAATTTAATATTTTTATAATAGCATTACTGTTTGTTATGCATTATGCATTTTGAGAACAAGCAATTAACTTTATCTTAATTAACTTAACTTAGTTGACAATTTTTAATTTAACAAGGGTTGCAAAGTACTTTGTTTAGGTATACAAAAAAAAAAATTAAAAAAAAAGACATCCTACAGCATTAAGTGAACATATAATATACTTAAAATACAATTAGTAAATTTAAGTACACATAGTGAACATTTTATTTTTATCAGTTAAGATGTGAATCAAGCATGTATTTTATTGAACTAGTTTTAAATTGGTTTAAACCAATGGGGTTGGCAGGTACTAGGTAAGCTGCAAAAACTAGAAAGACTTGTGATTGTTGCGTAAACTATGAATACAGGGGAACTATATGAAATTGTTTTACTATTATCCTATGCAATAGTTTAAAAATCTAATTTGCAAAACCTGTAGTGTTGAGACATTACTTTGTAACTGAAAACTTTCATGTTAGATATATGAAACATTTTAGTTTCATGCTGGTTAAAAAATAAAGTTCTAAACAGCTTGAGTTAGTGGGTAAAAAATAAAACTTATTTTTAGGTATAATTTTGTATGGTATGGAAGTTTTTATTATAGTTCAAGTAATTATCACATCTTTTTAAGACCAATTAAAATTTTAGAAAATAGAAGTTTTTTTCTAAAGATTACTGTGATTAACATTCTTTGAAGTTTAATCTCCTACTGAAGTTTAATCTCCTGAATTTTAATCTCCTATCATTAGCCTGTAATTAGCACATTTTTTATTTTCTTTATGAATCCAACAGTTTAGACATCTACTGCTGGTCTATTAACAATAAAACTAAAGATTATATACAAAAAATCTTTGATTGGTTTAGTGAGGCAGTGACAAAAAATCTTTGATTGGTTTAGTGAGGCAGTGACAAAAAAATTTCATTGACTTTTGAAAAAATTTTGAATGTTGGTCCACTATTAGCTGTCTTCATATGGTGTAATAGGAAAAATTACTAAATTCTTTCAGTATAAAGTTCAAAATTATCTATATCCATTATGATTGTTTGCTCTACTGTTAATACACTGCTACATTCATGTTATTAAAAAAAGTTTGTAATTGAAAATAAACTAATTCTAATGAGTATTGGGAATATTTAGAGGATCAGTTAGTTTATGGATATACAGGAAAAAAGAAAAGTAATTTAATGAGTCTGTTTTCAGATTTATTTTTGATTTGTATAGTTTTTTGAATCATGAAGTAAATTAACACCTTGTTTTTTTATTTTATATGCTTTCATATGTTTTTTGTTATATACACTTACATTTTTAAGTTTACCCATAGAGCTACCCATTTACGTTTTTTAAAAAGTTAATGCTCTATTATAAAATATTAAAAAATAAAAAAAAACTTATGCTCAAAAATGTTCATTTATTTTTTTATTAATATTAAATTAACTTTAATTTATTTTAATTAATTTTAACTTTAATTTATTAGATCATTGCATACACTACTATGATTTACGTAATCCAAAGCGTTCTTTATCGGTCTTGAAAGGACATCGAAAAGCTGTTTCATATGCTAAGTTTCTGGATGGAAATCAAATCGTATCAGCGTAAGTGCAACATTAATTTGTTATTGAGATGTTAAATGTATATAAGGGATGCTAAGTTTAAATCAGTGATGCCACTCTTTTAATTTTCATTTTAAAAAAATAAAAATAAAATTTGAAAAAAGTTTAAAGATTTATATTACAAGCTATGTCCATATATTAAGTTTGTAAGACCTGCTACATGATATATTAGTGCAAAAAAATTTATAGAATAAAAAAACTTTAAAAAATGCAAATTGCACATGCTACATTGAATCCTAAATTCAGTTTTTAAACATCACCATGTTGTATAAAGACCTCGGTATTGACCGAAGCCTGCCAACTCGACTAAAAATCCATATATTTATGTGTAATTGGCCATATATTGAATTATGGGATGTCTTGCGGGACCATATTATAAACAACATAAATTTACTATACATCTTTGTTGTCTGCTAAATATAATATATACTATAATATTAGATTTCGATTTTCAAGAATTAAGTTGCTTTTTCTATAAATACTCACAATACTAAATATGCAAGCCTTTTGCTCAGCCATCAGTTGTGTAAACAAGCGTGGAAAGAATGTTGGAAATAATATATATTTTTTTAGATTTCCAAAGGATAAAAATAGGTAAGTAATTATTAGTCAAATCAAATTTATGACGAGTATTATTTATCATTACTAGTAAATCAAGAATTTAAAGAAGCTTTTAAAACATTGTTTTACTTTAAATTTTATGAAACAAAAAATATTTATACATAATATGATGTAAATAATTCTACTAAATTAATTAGGTTTAACTTTTCTAATTATTTAGATGAAAGCTTTGGGTTTGTAATTATCGTTGTTAAGATCTTGATACAAAATCATGTGAAGAACTTAATCTTAAATATGCTATTTGTAGTGAACATTTTGATTCTTTCCAATACTATCTTGCCAATAATGGTAGTAAAAGAGCACTTGTTACTGCTGTACCAACAGTTTTTAACTTTCCAAATCAACCTTCTACCTTTAATTTAAAGAGAAAACAGCCTACAAACAGACTTCTTTTACAAAATAAAATACAAAAAAAAAGAAATCAACAATAAAGTTGAATTAAATTAAATAAATAGTGTTAAGAATAGCAGTACAAATAATGTAACTGTCAAAACTACTTTTAAAAATAAATATTTATCATCTTAATTTTTAAAAAAATTAAGGTGATAAATATTACTTGGAACCACTCGTTTATAAAGTGAGCGCTCTACCACTACACCACTACCGCATTTATTTATACACCACTACCGCATTTTTCTCAAGTTAAAATGCTTGGGATTTTCATTATCAAAACAACAAATTTCACATCCAGCTACAGGAGCAAAAGTTTATATAATATTTGACCCACCACATCTTATAAAAATGTTAGAAACAATTTAATAACATGATATTTTATCTGATGCTAAAATAATATCGTGGAAGCATCTGGAAGAACTTTATAATTTAGACAAGGTTAATGCTGTGCGACTTGTGCCAAAGTTGAGAGATCGTCATTTAGATCCAGGATCACTATTAGCCATGCAAGTACAACACAAATTTTCAGTAGTCAAGTTGCTACTGCTTTGACTGAATACGCTACTGCAAAACTATTGCCTGAAAATGTTTTGTCAACAGCCTATTTTATTAAAAATATGGATATTTTATTTGACATCTTAAATTCTCGTAAACTAAAAGCAGATAAATCAACACGCTCTGCTTTAACTCTAAATAGTAGTTTTATACAAAATGTTGAAGATTTAAGAGTTTGGATTAAGGTTTGGCATTTTACTGGTGCTCGCAGCCAAAAAAATATATCCAGTCATTGGGGTTTAGATGTCACTATTTCTAATATTTTTTGTCTTGCAAACAAGTTGCTTCATGAGGATTTTTTTTATGTTTGCACAGCTCAATTTAATCAGGGCTGTTTGGAATTTTTTTTTTTTTGCATTAATACGAAGCAAAGGAGGCTGGAATGACAGACCAATAGCGATGCAGTTTAAATCAGCGTATAAAAATGTCTTAGTACTCCTTTCAATAGAACAATCTAACTCTAACAGTAAATGTCTCCCTGAATCATATTTCTTAGCTGCAGTTACCATTGACTCAATCACCAACATAGTATTTGAGAATTAAATTTCTGCAAATGATTAATTGATTTTCAAACATCTAACTGTATTATTTAAAAAGAAACAAAAACCTTACGCATTATGAAATGTTTCAACTGATTCAGTTTCACAGTCAATTAAACAGGTTTTGAAAATAATTGCAGATGATTTGATAAAGAAAGTTCAAGTCTGTCAAAAATGTGTACAAGTTCTTTCAAGTGTGACACCCTGTGAAAATAACTTATTTAATTATGATTCTTTTTTACTAAACCTACTTCACGAAATGGAAACTGTTTTTATAATGCAAACGAAACTTATATTAATTAAAAAAAATATTATACAACAAATTATTAAAATATTAAAAACGATTGCAATTTTATATTTCTTTATGATGAATATATTGATCATGCTTTCATTTAGAAGAAAGTTTAATCAGACACTATGTTTGTATGAGAATATCAAGACATGTAAAAACAAGTTAGCTCGCATTATCCATGCTTGATTTTATTTTAATGATAATTCTTGAAACAAAATATTATTGTTGTTTTTTCTCTCAGTATTATTAACTATATATTTAGCATCTAATTTAGGTGTATATATTTAAACTAATATGTGGTATATATTTTAACTAATATGATACAAATACAGTGATAACATGATTCAAATAATTTATGCAAAACATGTTAAATTTACATCAAATTTACGCCTGTGTCAACATTAATGATAGATGATATATAAATGTTATATAAGCAATATTATGAAATAGTTTTAAAATTATTTTAATTTATAAAAGAAAAGTTTTTTTATGGGAAGCCCTCTGGTAAGAATAATGCAAATGTATAAATATTTCACTAAGAGTTGCGTTGTTTATGATTATTTGGTCCCGCAAGACATCCCACAATGCTTTGCGACTAAAATTACATATATTTATCGGGAGTTGGTAGGCATTCATAGTGACCTAGGTCAATACCGAGGTATTTATAGCTCAAGGTAAAACATATTGAGTTGACGTTGTAAAAAATGTTCATTGTGTTTGGTTGTCTTGAGAGAGATTTTTCTGTACCAAACAACATAGACTCCCTTTTAGTGACTCCAAGTTTGAGTATTTTTATAGCTTTTTTTTTACACACCATTTTGAGATTTCTTCCATATGGGATGAAAGACATGGTTCTATAATAAATATATCTTTTCTAGGAATGTATATGACTGTGTCATCAGCATAAATAATAGATTTTGAATGTTTCAAACAAGGCACCAGGTCATTTAAGTAAATAACAAAAAGTAAAGGGCCTAGTATTGATTCTTGAGGTACACCACATACAACTCTTCCTGTTTCAGATATTGTGTTTTGAAAACAAGTTGTTTGAAATCTGTTAAATAGGTAATCTTTAAACCAGCAGAGTTCAGTATCACAAACACCATAATTTTTAAGCTTGTTGATTAGTATTCTGTGACTTAAAGTGTCAAATGCTTTAAGTCACAGAATACTAATGCAAAAAAAATGCAAAGTCAACAAATAAAAGTTGACAAAGGTAAAATACTTCAACTATTTTACCTTCGTCAACTTTTCATTTTATGTTATCTACGAACAGCGTTGCAGCTAGTTTTGTTGTTTATGTTGAAAACCAAAGTTATTGTCATTTATCAAACTGGTTTCCTCTAAATAATTTGATAATTTAAAGTGTACAGCTTGTTTGATAATTTTTGATATAATTGGTATTACAGATATAGGTCTGTAGTTTTGAATGTTGTTGTGGGACTTTGTAAATTGGGAGAAGTCTCAAGCATTTCCAATCAGTTGGATAGGTTGATGTCTTCAAAGACATGTTTATTATGTGAGTAAGTGGTTTAGACAAAATGTTCGCTGTATTAATGGAGATATACTGTCTAGGCTGGTAGACTTTTAAGTTTTTAACCCACATAATTCTTTTTCTATTTAATCAACCGTTACATAAATTTAAAAGACCTGTAAGTGCGGGTTGGTTCCCGATGCAATAAAGCCTAACACGGTCTTTAAAAAAAAAGTACATTTCTTTAAAATAGATACCAAATTATCGCAAAACTCAGATGATATTTATCAAAGATTAGAGGTCAGAGACGAGTTAATAATAAATGCTGTACTAGTTGAAGATTTAGTTTTACAAGGGTAAATATTTTTAATGTTTATGGCAGAAACTTTCTGGTTTATTCATAGTTTTATTTAGTATATTTCAGTGGTAGTTCTGTTTTAATTGTTTTATAATAGCTTTAACTTCATTTCTCTTGTTTTTAAAAAGCTGTTTGTCAATTGCTAACATTTATTTACAAAATTTACGGAGTAGATTGTCATGTTCATATGATATATTACTTCCCCTGTAAGCCATGGCATGGTTTGCCTTGAATGCATTTTTCAATATTTGAGGCTAAGGTATCAAGACATGTTAAAATTATGTTTCATTTTATATGAAACTATGATGTGTTTACATTAGTTAAAAGTAAAATTGAGGATCAAAGCTACAAAGCAAACTACAGAACTCCTGCTTAGTTTATTGTTTATAAATTTCTACACTTTATTATTTTTGGCTTGTACTTAGCATGATTAGATTTGCAAATGCATCCAGTCAGATCATGGTCACACTAAAAGATATTAGTATTATGAATGATTTTGATATAGAAGTTGTTTTATTTGTATAAATTACATCAATTAGGTAGAAGATGTTAATGTTCTTGTAGCACTTTTTATTAGTCATTTGAAACCATAGAATTGTAGCATAGATTTTATTTCAATATGATCATTTGGTTTTAAATATTTAACATTGAGATCTCCCATTATTATTGTTTCTATTGAATCAAACTTAGATATAATTTCCACAAATATATTTCTGGTGGTTAAAACAGGACACAGAATAATATACTCTT